CATGCAGAGAGGCGGACGAGAGTTTTAATCGGAGCTAGGCTGCACTCGATCGAAATCTAATCCCATGCAGCAGAAGGAATTGACTCGTACTGCACGTGAAACGAGGGCACGCCCGGCCGACTTTCTGCAAGCAAGCAAGCTCTTGCCAGAACATCATAGCTGTAATCTACGTGTGTAATAATAATCCATCGTTTGGCCGCGAACGTTCGTTCGTCTCACAGATATATAATAGTACACAGATAGGTTAATCGCCGTTTTTGCTCGCATTTTGCAGAACCGAAAAGCGGCGGATCGATGCATGGACGATATCGAGCACACGGGGCGGCCATCGCAGCCCTGCGCCGTCACGCGAACAGGCGACTGGAGACGAAATTCGCCTACCTCCAGCGGGTGAGGCAATCTCGCAGCTGCATAGCTTGGAATAGCGTTTTTTCTCCGTTGTCCGCATTTAAACATATCATGCATGCAATAGCATGCAGAGAGGCTGGACGAGAGTTTTAATCGGAGCTAGGCTGCACTCGATCGAAATCTTAATCTCCAGGCATGCAGAAGGAATTGACTCGTACTGCACGTGAAACGAGGGCACGCCCGGCCGACTTTCTTGCAAGCAAGCAAGCCTTTGCCAAATCATTCATAGCTGTAATCTACGTGTGTAATAATAATCCATCGTTGGCCGCGAACGTTCGTTCGTCGCACAGATATAATAGTACACAGATAGGTTAATCGCCGTTGTTTGCTCGCATTTTGCAGAACCGAAAAGCGGCGGATCGATGCATGGACGGATATCGAGCACACGGGGCGGCCATCGCAGCCCTGCGCCGTCACGCGAACAGGCGACTGGAGACGAAATTTCGCCTACCTCCAGCGGGTGAGTGCAATTCTCGCAGCTGCATAGCTTGGAATAGCGTTTTTTTCTCCGTTGTTCCGCATTTAAACTATATCATGCATGCATGCAATATTGCATGCAGAGAGGCTGGACGAGAGTTTTAATCGGAGCTAGGCTGGGCACTCGATCGAAATCTAATCTCCATGCATGCAGAAGGAATTGACTCGTACTTGCACGTGAAACGAGGCACGCCCGCCGACTTTCTTGCAAGCAAGCAAGCCTTTGCCAGAATCATCATAGCTGTAATCTACGTGTGTAATAATAATCCATCGTTTGGCCGCGAACGTTCGTTCGTCTCACAGATAATTAATAGTACACAGATAGGTTAACGCCGTTTGTTTGCTCGCATTGCAGAACCGAAAAGCGGCGGATCGATGCATGGACGGATACGAGCACACGGGGCGGCCATCGCAGCCCTGCGCCGTCACGCGAACAGGCGACTGGAGACGAAATTCGCCTACCCCAGCGGGTGAGTGCAATTCCGCAGCGCATAGCTGGAATAGCGTTTTTCTCCGTTGTCCGCATTAAACTATATCAGCATGCATGCAATATTGCATGCAGAGAGGCTGGACGAGAGTTAATCGGAGCTAGGCTGCACTCGATCGAAACTAATCTCCATGCATGCAGAAGGAATTGACTCGTACTGCACGTGAAACGAGGCACGCCCGGCCGACTTCTTGCAAGCAAGCAAGCTCTTGCCAGAATCATTCAATAGCTAATCTACGTGTGTAAAATAATCCATCGTTGGCCGCGAACGTTCGTTCGTCCACAGATAAAAAGTACACAGATAGGTTAATCGCCGTTTGTTTGCTCGCATTTTGCAGAACCGAAAAGCGGCGGATCGATGCATGGACGGATATCGAGCACACGGGGCGGCCATCGCAGCCCTGCGCCGTCACGCGAACAGGCGACTGGAGACGAAATTTCGCCTACCTCCAGCGGGTGAGTGCAATTCTCGCAGCTGCATAGCTTGGAATAGCGTTTTTCTCCGTGTTCCGCATTAAACTATATCATGCATGCAATATTGCATGCAGAGAGGCTGGACGAGAGTTTTAATCGGAGAAGTATTTTAGCTCGATTAGGCTGCGCTTTTCCAGTTGAAACACACAGCCAGCATTGCAATCATGTCATGCACGCATGCAGAATCTCCGAGCACACGCTCGCGACGATCTCCTGTACAAGTGATAAATAAAACTGTTCTTTTCTTGCTAAAACGATGCATAAAATTCAGTAATGTAATGTAATGAAATAGATCCCCAGTTAGCTACAATGCTAGTTACACGAGGTCTAGGTAGGTATCTAAGTTATAAATATATATGTAAAGTTACAAAAGACACAATGCTATACAATTTACAATATAAAATTAAGTCTAACAATAGCAATAGCAGTGCTTTCGGAATATATGTCAAATAAACCAGGTAACTGTCTCAAACAGCAGATTTAAAAGCTCTTTCATACTATTTGTTTTGTCCTACATTAAATTGTTCCAAATTTCTATTCCTCTTGTTGTAAACGCTCTAGCAAGGAATGTTTCTTCTATAAACAGGTTCATAAGTAGTAACTTAACCTTTACACATCGAGCAAATCTTGTCTCATGTCATGATAATGAGAGGATGAAGGTGCTTAGATATAGTAAATGGCTCCTTCCAGTAGAGTGTTATGCATAATCAAGCTGTTCTCATGTGTATCTTGTCTGACCGTTAACCAGTTTATGAAGCTAAAGGCATTCCATTACTGGTTAATGATTCCATCCAGTCAAATAAATGAATGAAGATAATGTCTGAAAATAACATGTTCACCCATTCTTATTATCAAGGCATGCTTGTGAAAGCATAAAATCCATGAAGGAGGCACCACTCATAAACAGGAAACACCACTTCACGTAGCAGCAAGATACATATGCAAAATAAATGTTACAAACTATACGAAAACGTCTGCCTTCGTAGCTGTCCAAGGTTAAAAAACTTCCAAACGAAAAACTCGCGTGTCAAAATTCCCCAAATCCGACTCTAACAACAAACGTGCTTCACTTTCCGGGTTTAATCCAATACTGGTTTAAATTCCATTCCAAGATTTCCATCCAGTCAGATATAATGAATGAAGATTAACGTCTGAGAATAAGATGTTCAACCATATTATTGAGAAGGCAAGCTTTGTAAGAGCTTATATCCATGAAGCTACAAGGCATGTCAAAAAACCCAACACTGGTTTATAATTCCATTCCATTCATGAACTGGTTCCATTCAATCCATTAATGGCGCCCATGTAGTGTTCTTCAATTGCTTGTTTTGAGTGATGTTTCACCATATTGTGCAGGTGAAAAATTTGGAATGAAAGACACATGCATACATACAATGACCAAACATATCTTTACTCGCACGCATGCACAATTCAAGATATGTGTACAGGCATAAGAAAGAAAAAGATAGACTTAATATAGGAAATAAATAAAGAAGAAAGATAGACATTATTAAGCAATGGTTAGCCACACCACCAAAATTGAGCAGTAATTTTTTTCAAAAACTAGATAACAAGACTAATCCAAGTGTTCATATCTGCACCCCTGAGTTGCTTAATCATAATAGTATATAATTTTAATTTTATAACATATCACAACATTTAATTTTATAATTCCTCGACATTTGCAGTTAGGAATAATGAATGAAGAAAGATGGATAAAGGAGGAAGAAATGATAGAAAATTAAACAATTATACTCCCAAATAAAAGGCATTCATACCCCGACACTTACAACTGGCAGTAAGAAATGATGAAGGACTAAAAAACCCAGTAGAATCCAACAAAAGATGGCCTCATCCCTAAAGTTCATTCTAACGTAACAAAAATCATTTAAATGGTAAAGAACTTGTCCAACACATCTCTATGAATTATGTTTAATGTATTTTTTAATATATATTAATTTTTATTTTAAATTTTTATAGTTTTATAACATATCATAACATTTAATTTATAATTAATTATAGTTTATTTTAATTAATTATGTTTTATCATGAAAAAAATGTCGTTGGTCCCCAGAAAGACCATGCATGAGTATTGAAAATCATGATGAACAACCAGTCATCTGCAGTTGGAAGTAAGAATGAAGGTTGAAGAAATGATAAAAAAATTAAAATGAAAAAAATTAAAATGTTGTGTTCTCCAAGAAAGACAATGAGTATTGAAAATCAGGAAGAACAAGAAATCGCGAATAATTCCTCGACATTTGCAGTTAGGAATGATGAATGAAGAAAGAAGAAATGATAGAAAATTAAACAATTATACTCCCAAATAAAAGGCATTCATTAAAAAATTTTCGTTGTTTTCCACAAAAGACAATGAGTATTGAAAATCAGGAAGAACAATAAGTCGCGAGTCATACCCCGACACTTACAATTGGCTGTAAGAAATGATGAAGGACTAAAAAACCCAGTAGAATCCAACAAAAGATGGCCTCATCCCTAAAGTTCATTCTAACGTAACAAAAATCATTTAAATGGTAAAGAACTTGTCCAACACATCTCTATGAATTATGTTTAATGTATTTTTTAATATATATTAATTTTTTATTTTAAATTTTTATAGTTTTATAACATATCATAACATTTAATTTTATAATTTTATAATTCTATAGTTTATTTTTAATTTAATTATTGTTTTATCATGAAATTAAAATGTCGTTGGTCCCCAGAAAGACCATGCATGAGTATTGAAAATCATGATGAACAACCAGTCATCTGCAGTTGGAAGTAAGAATGAAGGTTGAAGAAATGATAAAAAAATTAAAATGAAAATTAAATTAAAATGTTGTTGTTCTCCAAGAAAGACAATGAGTATTGAAAATCAGGAAGAACAAGAAATCGCGAATAATTCCTCGACATTTGCAGTTAGGAATGATGAATGAAGAAAGAAGAAATGATAGAAAATTAAACAATTATACTCCCAAATAAAAGGCATTCATTAAATTAAATTTTCGTTGTTTTCCACAAAAGACAATGAGTATTGAAAATCAGGAAGAACAATAAGTCGCGAGTCATACCCCGACACTTACAATTGGCTGTAAGAAATGATGAAGGACTAAAAAACCCAGTAGAATCCAACAAAAGATGGCCTCATCCCTAAAGTTCATTCTAACGTAACAAAAAGTTTAAAGAAAGAAAGATGAAAAAATCTACTGTACCACACCTGCATTTCATTATATTTATATTTAATATCTATTTATATATTTTAACCAGCATCCACCAACCACCAAGCCAAGTCTCGATCAAGTCGTGCGGAATTGCAAAGAACCAAGGTAAAGAAAGAAAAATGAAAAAACAAAAAAAACAATTACTTAAAATCCTGGTCTTCTCTCATGGAAGTCACCAGAACGACTGTCCAGAAAACCACCATCTCATATAGTGCTACCTTAACTCATACCAGACCTATATATATATATATATATATATATATATATATATATATATATATATATATATATATATATATATATATATATATGAATATTGCATACTGTATTTGCTTAATTAATTATATTTAAATGTGCTTTTATATTATATTATATATGTTATAGTACTAAAATTGTTTTGATTTAACCAAAACACGTTTAATTTTTAAAAAGTAAAGTATGTATTTTATTAAGATATTTATTTTTTTCTAATGAAATTTAATATCGTTTTAAACTCAATGGCGCAGATATGTGTCACTCTCCTCAGATTGTAAAGAATTTATTTCGTGCGCCAAATTTGTACAAAATTTCAATCAAATGTTCGTAAATTTGGTAGTGTTAGCGAAATTCTACCGTAATATTCTAACGTCTTATACACGTGAAACTAACCGCGAAAGAAGCCTTTTTCACCGGTAAAACTGAAACATTCCTCACTTTGTAATCTTATACATTTTGGGATACGCGCTTATTTAAAATTTCAGTGAATTAACGTACATTGAGACACAATATTGAAAACAAAAATGGTTGTGAATTGAAAACGTAAGTTCGACATTTTGGCAACGTGGAACCAGGGACACTTACAGTCGTTACAGATGAAAACACATGGAATATCTTAGTGATATTAAACGCAAGAATATTTAAAAAGGATGTCTGCACGTGGAAAGAGAAAAGCAAAGTCTAGAGATAAATACGTGTGAATGTTCTGTTCCAAATGACATCTTCTTGAGAAAAAAGGCCTTTTCGAAAATGGGCGTTGCTTCGCTATCTGTGGATTTGTTGTGTTTAAGTACAATTTACGCCAATGATGTGTATTTGGTTGATTTTTTCAGTTGATTTCTTCGGTATTTCCAATCTTTTTAAAAAATGAACTCATAACAGTATTTCCCAGACTAGTTCGTTTCGTTTTTATAATAATACGAACAATCATATTTATAAATAGATCATTGAAAAATAATGCTTCTAAGGGATACAGTGGGATACAATTAGTTATTACCCATGCGATACACAATTATCCCGCGTATAAAATGTTTGTTTATTTATCGTGTGTGAGATCGTAGTAATATACTGAAAAGTCGCATTTTTGCTTTTCATTACTTCAAGAAGAGCAATTCGCTGTAAGTATTTTCTTTTAATTTCTTTACATTTTGTTAGTACAGTGATTTTAGTGAACTTGAATATCATTTGTCTGTCTGAAAATGTAAAACATTTCGATGGACACATGGAGAAGGGTATTTAATTAAACATACTTGATATATAGTTGTGTTTGAAAATATTTTGGTTCAACGTCGGTAGAATACAAACTTCATTTGGCTATTTGGTGCCTAGTGTATAAAGCATTCCCAAATGCATTTTGGATGGATGAGACGCATTTTATTAACTTGGAATAAATAGCATATAGGGAATGCAAGATTTCAGGGCCGTATTGCTTTAAACAAATCTCACATCATTCAGCTTTGTCATGTTTTTAACACAAGTAAAGCAAACTGCTCATACAGCTATAAAATAGCTTTGTGATAGTTGGTTTTCTTTTTAATTTGTCTCTTGTATTTATGAGACCCTTAATTAATGTTGTTTGTTTGTTTTCACCAAAAAAGCAGACATATTCTGATTAAGAAGTTCATTCATAAAATTATTCTAATAAAAGTTTTTCGTATTTCTAATTTAAACAAAATCATTAACTTTATGAAAAGCTCCAGTTCTTCTGATTGCGTAAACTAAACCGTGACCACTGATTCCAATGTGTACAACACCATAATGTGAAATTTTCTCAGGTGTATTTGTAACTACATATTCAATAAAGCTAGATGACCTAATAGTAATTAGAAGTTGGTTCATTAAGTTTGAAGTTTGAGATGTAGTAATAATACATAAAATATTGTACCAATTCATATATTATAATGGTGTTACTGATTCCAAAAATCCAAATAGATCGGTGAATCGGTCTAATCTAAGAAGTTTCATTGTATTATGACACAAATTATAAGGATTATAATAGTGCTACAGCTTACAACGTTAATATAGAGATCAGTTTTAACCTGCGCTAATTTTTGCGGGTTTTTGTGTTCTTTTTCCATTTTTTTCCGACTGTACGTCTTCGTGCGAGTAATTTGGGTCGATGGGATTCATTGAAATAAAAAAATTACATGTATTTCAAAGAATTATCGCCGGATCTTGCAAAGATCGGTACGATCAGTGAGAATTCCTTACCAGGCTTTCTGACCGTGGGTTTTTGTCCAACGACAAAAACCCACGGTCAAGAGGCCTGGTAATTGATGCTTAAACGCTTAGTCAGCGAATTTAAAGTGCTACAGTTTTAAATCACTAATTCACCCGTTTTTTGTTTTTCTTCTATTTCTTACGACTATTGGGTTCATGGGATTTATTTAAATCTAAAAATTACATGTAGCTCAGCCTGGTAATTGAATTGCTTAAAAGCTTAGTCAGCGAATATAAAGTGCTACATCCTAGGGCATCGCTATAGAGATCAGTTTGAAATATAACAATAACAATGATATTAATAATTCCTATTTAAAAAAAATTCCAATTTCTAATTATTACCATTCCAACCATTTTTAAGAGTTTACATGGAATTTATGTAAGAACAGTGCTTATAGAAAAACTATTAATAGAGTTATTTAACATATTAATAAGATTATCCATTGTTATATCAATGATTATCAACTAACAATATGAAACTTATGCATTCTGTATTTCCTTTTAGCATTTCCTTTGGGTGTGCTAAGGGAGAGGATTGGAGTATATACACCAAAATGTCTTCTGTAAGTATTGTTTATATAAACTATGATTATTTTTTAACCAAAATGGGCAACAATAAGTCATGCATATTTTCACAGTGTGTTAATCTTTTCCCTCTTGTGCAGTTTTCGCTGCGCTTCGATGCTTGCACAGACATTGGTAATTGTTAAATCTGTGTAAACTTTATTGTGCACTTCCATGGAATGACCAATACCTTTTGCTATTGCCCGTCTTTCCGTATCAGTTAGCTGTTCATTCCCAGCTGTTGCAACCGCATGTCGAATCTTTGTTGCTGTAATGTGCTTGTCATGGTTCTTCGTAACTTTTGTGACAGATTTTCCTGGCTTGGCTAACATTCGTCCGGATGCATTCAAGAACACATTTTGCTTGTAGGGTGATTTAGGTTTCGCCTGGGGTCTTACATATTTCAAATAGTTATGTAGCTGTATCCATACTGTTTCAGTAAATGGCACAGGAAGTGGCCCATGCGTTGCGAATGTTTTATGATTTAAGACAAAAACTATATTGTATACTGTACCATCAGTAGGTGATATGTACTACAGGATTGTCTATTTCTTGCAAAGTCATAAATTGAAATGCCCTGGTCTTATTGCACTTTCCTGTGTTATAGTTATTGTGATAAGTGTATCAACAATAAGCCTGTACTCCTCTTGGGTAAGTTTCTTTTTTGACATTGCTCGTTTCATGATTTCAATGAATCGAGCAATTGTATGTTCAGAGACAGCTGTGTCTATATCTTCCATGGTTTAGGTTAAACCCACACAACTCATTCCTCCAGGAATTTTGCATTCGTAGAACCTTTTTTTGTTTTGCAAGTGGCTTAAGCCATTCAGAATATTCTGCAATAGCTCTTTTGCATTTCGTGTGAATCTTTGGTTTTTTATGGCCGAGGAATTTCAGGGCTATTGTAATTCTTCAATCTTTGATTTAAGCCCATCAGGGCCTAAACCAGCATCTTTTGTAGTAATAAGATAATTGTTGAGTGCTTTGGCATCCAACAGCCTATTCCATTTCAGCTTGGTTGGAAAAGAAAAATATAGGAATCTATTTCAAGAAAACAAAATGTCAGTCTCAATTTTATATTCTCGTTGTTTCTTGCAGACAATATCTAAATCTATTAAATACCAACCTGCTAACTTCACTTGCTATTTCATCTGTGCATGCGAGTTGGCCGCCAGATGGCGATTTGAGCCATGAGATGAACTTTTCAAACTTACTCATAGGAAACTTCTTATAAAGGCCTTTACACCTTAGAATCTCAAACATTTGTTTTCTGCTCGATGGTGCATTTTGTTTCTCTCGCAAGGCTGAAACTGTCATTGCGTTAATTTGCATCGACCCTTGATGTTCTAGATAATTGTCTAACAATTCGTTCTCATGTCTAGTAACGCTTTCTCCCTCTTGCGGTTCATTGGAATCAAAGTCATGTTCTTCTGGTCGTAGTTTTTTGCGCTTTGGAGCGACATTGTAGAATCGTTTCTGGTTTTTCCGACGTTCTTATTTAAGCGTATTCCTCTGCCAAGACTGCACGTTATAACCTATAATATCATGGAAATAATCGGTGATTAATTAATTGCGCAAATAAAAGGGAGAAAACGTAAATTCATTCTTCATCTTGCCTTAAAATTGTCCAAATCAATATGTGTTAGCCCTGTTTGTAGAATAAAGTCGGAATAAACCTCCTCGGGTGTTGGACACTGAACATCTTTAGTTTGTTGAATAATAGAAAAATTTTCTTCCCAAAACCGTGAGACCTTCAGTCTGTCATCCATCCTTCAGGTATCAAGAGTGTCATTGTTATGCCTGTGTAACGCGACACCGCGGAAATTGGTATAGACTTAGCCGCAATTCTCAATACTTAGACTTCAAACTTGGTGAGAAAAAATATTTATGAATATTCAAGAAAATATGCCTTGCACAAAAGATTTGAAGCTTGCACACGGTAAAAACGAATCGTCTGAATTAATAACATTTTGTATACTTTAAGCGTCAAAATAGCCATTTCATAGCGGTCATATGTGTATGAGCTGTCAAAAGGTTGCAGAATGCGTATTCAGAAGAAATTGAACGTTTTTAAGATATTCAAAAGGTTTCTCTTTGATTGCGGTACAGAAATGCCAATTCTGGGTTGAAACTTCTTAAACACCAGTCTCTGTGGTGTCCTGTAACGCCAGCATATCAAATTTCAAAGGTCTTTCCGAACTAACAAACATCGCCCTTGTTTTTTCAGCTTATTCAGTTAAAACAATATTGGCTCGAGTGGCAGCCTACGGACCCGGCAAACATTATCGAATCCCTCAGGTAATGAATAATTTTTACGTATTCCATTCGGCATTGATGATGATCGATCCATCCTGGATCGCCCTGGCATACCTAGTGCCAATTGTAAGATTAATGAAGTTTAAAACAAATTTTTTGGGATTAGGTGTTATAACAGTAGCAAGGTTTCACAACTGTATGTTTCTAACGTGCGATTTTACCTTTTCCCAGTGCGGACACCAGCGGATTGAACGTTATTCCATGCATTCGGTCCCGATCAGGTAATCATTAATTTTTTCTGTATTGCATTTAATTATACATTGCGTTTGGTTTTGCGTTGCGTTGTGTTTTGCGTTGCGTTGTGTTTCGATTTCCGTTTCTGTTTGATATGAAGCGAGGTTTCTTAAAATACTACAAATCTACAACGTGACTTTCATGCATAATTCTTTCTGTATCGCATTCTCGGGACTTTATAAATCGTGTTTGGTTTTGCGTTGCGTTGCGTTTGGATTTATAATTCTATAATTAACAGGGGAGCTATCGTTTGGTTTAGAAACGAGCGTGGTATACAACTGAAGTTTTCAATTTAGTATGGGTAGATTTAAGCAAAAAGCGAGCCTATATACATCGATGAAGCGAGCTTTCTTAAGATACATCAAATCCGTTGATGGTTTTTAAAATCTTTTAAGTTTAGTGTAATATATAAGTTACTTTTGTGTTCGAATTTTGATTATATGTTCGGCTAATTATTTGGTCTTTATCTCGCTGCCAAGGCTGACGTGCGGTGCTACGGACAAGTCAGTTTGCACCCATAGGTCTTGCAGTAATGATAATACCATCTATCTATATATTGTTCAAGAATGAAATGGTCACGCAAGCATGGAGTATGATTTCGTGAGTTTACTTCGTGATTAGTGTAACTCCGTTTCAACATTCCTTGCTTAGTTTTGTGATATTTCCTTCACCCGAAAAGCCTCTAAAACTCTAAACCCTAACCCTAACCCTAACCCTAACCCTAACCCTAACCCTAACCCTAGGGTTATACCAAAAATTTAAAAAGTTCTCGAACAAATCTGAAAAAATTTTCATAATTAATAAAAAACTCTAATTATCCCTAAACATCCCTTTATAACCCTAGGAAACTCTTCCAAACCCTCAATATTTAAGAAATCAAATTTATCTATCCCTAACCCTAACCCTTACCCTAAAAAAAATCCAAAATTTTAAATGCTTCAAAAAAATCTGAAAAAATATTTGAAATAAAAAGAATAATATATTTATCCTAAAACTACCCTTCATGTCCCTAGAAAATCTTTTAAACCTCTAAAATCGTAATTTTAGTTTTAGCTTAGCTAACCCTAACCCATACCCTAAAAAAATCCAAAATTTTACTTTGCTGGAACAAATCTGAAAAAATGTTTAAAATTAAGAAAATATTTTTTGGAGCCTAAAACAACCCTTCATGTCCCTGGAAAACCTTTTAAACTCCCAAAAATCAAAAAAGAAATAAAACCAACCCTATGGCATACCCTTGACCCCATGGCAAACCCCAACCCTAAGGCTGACCGTTTCTCGCCTCTGAGACCCGTAATTTTCTCTCCTCCTCTCTTCTCTCCTTTTTCCTCCCCCTCCTCCCCCCTCTCCCTTCCTCTCCCCCTCTTCCCTCCCCTCTCCCCCTCCTCCCTCCCCCTCCCTTCCCCCTCTTTTCTTCTCTTTTTTTCCTCTTTTTTCTTCCCTATTTTTTCTTCCCTGTTTTTTCTCCCCTCTTTTTCTCTCCCCTCTTTTTTTCTCCCCTTTTTTTTCTCCCCTTTTTTCTTCCCCTTTTTCCCACTCCCTTTTCCTTCCCTTTCTTTCCCCTCCCTTTTTTTTTCTTTCCTCTCTCCTCTTTCTTCCTTTCCCTTCTCCCCTTCCCTTCCTTCCTCCCTCTCCTTTTCTCTCCCCTCCTTTCCCTCTCCCCTTCCCCCCTCTTCCCTTTTCTCTCCTCTTTCCCTTTCCTCTCCTTTTTTCCCTTCCCTTTTCTCTTCCTTCCTTTCCCTTCCTCTCCTCTTTTCTTCCTTCCCTCTTCTCTCCTCTCCCTTCCTCTCCTCTTCTCTTCCTTCCCTCTTCTCTCCTTTCCCTCCCTCTCCCCTTTTCCCCTTCCCTCCTTTTCCTTCCCCTCTCCTTTCTTTTTTTCCCTTCCCTTTTCTCCCTTCTCTTTTTTTCTTCTCCCCCTTTCCCTCTTCTTTTCCCTTCCCCTTCCTCTTCCTTTCCTTTTCCTCTTTCCCTCCTCTTCTTTTCCCCCTCCCTCCTCTTTTCTTTTCCTTTCCCTTCTCCTTTCTTCCCCCCTTCTCTCTCTCCTCTTTTTCTCCCCTTCCCTCTCCTTTTTCTTTTCCCCTCTCCCTCTTCTTTTTCTTCTCCCTCTCCCTCCTCTTTCCTCTTTCCCTTCCCTTTTCTTCTCTTTCCCCTCCCCTTTTCCCTTTCCTCTCTTCCCTCTCTCCCTCTTTCCTTTCCCCTTCTCACCTCTTTCTCTTTCCTTCCCCTCTTTCCCCCTTTCTCCCCCTCTCCCCCCCTCTTTTTTCCCTTTCCTCTTTTTTCCCCTCTTCCCTTTCTTCTTTCCTCTTTTCCTTCTTCCCTCTCCCTCTCCTCTCCTTCCTTTTTCCCCTTCCCTCCTCTTCCCTTCCCCTCTCCTTCCCTTTCCCCTCCTTTCTCTTTTCCCTCTCTCTTCTCCTCTCCTTTCCCTTCCTTTCTCTTTTCCCTTTCTCTTCTCCTTTCCTTTCCCTTCCTTTCTCTTTTCCCTCTCTCTTCTCCTTTCCTTTCCCTCCCTTTCTCTTCTCCCTCTCTCTTCTCCTTTCCTTTCCCTTCCTTTCTCTTTTCCCTCTCTCTTCTCCTTTCCTTTCCCTCCTTCTCCCTCCTCCCTTCTTTCCCCCTTCCTTTTCCTCCCCTCTCCTTCTCCCCCTCTCCTCCCCTCTTTTTTCTCCTCCCCTTTTTTTTTCTCCCCTCTTTTTTTCCTCCCCCTTTCTTTTTTCTCCTCCCTTCTTTTTTTCTCCCCTTTTCTTTTCCCCTCTTCTCTTCCTCTCTCTCCCTCCCCTTTTTTTCTTCCCCTCTTTCCTCCCCCCTTTTTCTTTCTTTTTTCCCTTCCCTTCTTTTTTCTTTCTTCTCTTCCCCTCTCTCTCTTCTCTTTTTTTTCCTCCTCCCCTTCTCCCTCCTTTTTTTCCTCCCCTCTTTCCCCTCTTTTCCCCTTTTCCCCCTTCTTCTCCCCTTTTTTTCTTTTCCTTTCTTTTCCTCCTCCTCCTCCCCCTTTTCTTCCCCCTTTTTTCTCCCCCTTTTTTTTCCCCTTTTCTTTCCCTTTTTTTCCTCCCCTCTTTCTCCCCTTCTTCCTCCTCCCTTTTCCTTCCTTCTTTTCCCTCCCTCCCTTGCTTTTTCCTTCCTCTCTCCTCTCCCTTCCTTTCCCTTCCCCCCTTCCCTTCCCTCCTCCCTCTCCTTTTCTCTCCCTCCTCTCCCTCCCCTTCCCCTTTTTCCTTTCTCTCCTCTTCCCCTCTCCCTTCCTTCCCCCCCTTCCTTCTTCTCTCCCTCCCCTTCCCCTTCCCCCCTTTTTTTCTTCTCTTCCCCTCTTCTCTTTCCCCCCTTTCTCTTTTTTTCTTCTCTCCCCTTTTTTTTTCCTCCCCTTTCTCCTTTTCTCTCTTTCCCTTTTTCTCCTCCCTTTTTTTCTTCTCTCCCCCCTCCTCCTTTTCCTCCTTTTTTTCCCCTCCCCTCTCCTTTCTTTTTTTCCTCTCCTCCCTTTCCCCTTCTCCTTTTTTCTTCCCCCCTTTTTTCTTCCTCCCTTTCTTTTCCCTCTCTCCTCTTTCTCTTCTTTCCCCCTCCTTTTTTCCCCTCCCTTCTTTCCTCTTCCCCCCTTCTCTCCCCTCTTCTCCCTTTTCCTTTTCCTTTCCTTCCTCCTTCCTTCTCCCTTCCTTCTTCCCTTCCTTCTTCTCTCTCCTTTCCTCTCCTTTTTTCTTCCCCTCTCCTTCTCCTTCCTCTCCCTTTTCCTTCTTTCTCTCCCCCTCTCCTCCTCTTCCCCTTTTCTCTCCTTCTTTCCTCCCCTCTTCTCCTCCCCCTTTTCCTTTCCTCTTTCTTTTTTCCCCCTCTCCTCTCCTTTTCCCCCCTCTTTTCCCTTCCCCTCTTCTCTTTTTCTCCTCTTCTCTCCTTTTCTTTCTTCCCCCCCTTTTCCCTCCTTTTCTCTCTTCCCCTCTGCTTTTTTCCTTCCCTTTTCCTCTCCTTTCCTCCCCTCCCCTTTTTTCTCTCTCTCTTTTTCTTCTCCCTTCTCTTTTCCCCCCTTTCTTCTCTCCTCTTTTTTTCTCCCTTTTTCCCCTTTTTTCTTCTTCCCCTTCCCTTTTTTTCCCCCTCTTTTTTTTTCCTCCCTTCCTTTCCCCCCCTTTTCTTCTCCTTCTCTCTCTTCCTCCCTTCCCTTTCTTTCTCCTCCTTCCTCCCCTCTTTCCTCTCTCCCCTCCCCCTTCCCCTCTCCCTCCCTTCCCTCCTTCCCCCTTCTCCCCTCTCCTCTCCTCTCCTCTTCTCTCTTCCCCTCTTTCTCCTCCTCTTCCTTCTCCTCCTTCTTCTTCCTCTCTTCTCCTTCCCTCCCTCTTCCCTCCTTCCCCTCCCTTTTCTTCCTTCTCTGTCCTGTCTTCCTTCCTCTCCCCTTTCCTTCCTTTCTCAATTTCCCTCCAACATTTCCCCAACCTTTCCCCTCAATTTTACCAATATTTTTCCCACTTTTTCCAAAACTTTTCACACTTTCTTCCAATATCTTCCCAACCTTTACACCACTATTTTCCCACTATCTCCCCAACTTTTCCCCAACTTTTTTCCAACTTTTTTCCAACTTTTTTCCAACTTTTTTCCAACTTTTTTCCAACATTTTCCTAACATTTTCCTAACATTTTACCAACATTTTACCAACATTTTACCAACATTTTACCAACATTTTACCAACATTTTACCAACATTTTACCAACATTTTACCAACATTTTACCAACATTTTCCTAACATTTTCCTAACATATTTCCCCACATCTCCCTAACATCTCCCCAACATCTCCCCAACATTTCCCCAACATCTCCCCAACATTTCCCCAACATCTCCCCAACATTTTCCCAACATTTTCCCAACATTTTCCCAACATTTTCCAACACCCAACCCATGCTTTTGTTATATAAATAAATGACATCATAACCAAAGCGTGGTCACCCATCTCAAACTCAAAAACTTGTCAAAATTGACCAAAATTGTAAGGGGTAAGCCTTACCATTTTACTCAAAATTGACGACG